GGCAACTGTAAGAGAGCAGGAGTGGCAATATTAATTTCTGATCAAGTTGACTTTAAGACAAAAACCATAATATGAGACAAGGAAGGACATTATATAATGATTAAAGGATCAATTGGTCATGAAGATATAACCAAAATAAATATCTATGGACCCAATGAAAGAGCCCCAAAATACATAATTCAGACTTTAGAAGAGGTGAAAAGTCAAATAGATGACTCCACAGTCATAGTGGAAGACTTTAATACACCACTTTCATTGAAAGATAGAACAACTAGAAAAAAACTCAACAAAGATGCAGAAGAGCTAAACAACACAATCTACCAGCTTGGCCTTATAGACATCTACAGAGCACTTCACCCAACAGCAGCACAATGTACATTCTTCTCCAGTGCACATGGAACATTTTCCTTGATAGACCATATGTTAGGCCATAAAGCAAGCCTTAATAATTCAAAAACATTGAAATACTGCAAAACATCTTCTCAGATCATAATGCTATCAAATTAGAAATCAACAATAGGAAGATCAACAGAAAAAGAGTGAACACATGGATACTGAACAACACCCCCTTGAGAAAGACTGGGTAAGAGAAGAAATCAAAATTGAAATTCAAAAATTCCTTGAATCAAATGAGAATGAAAACACAACATACCAAAATCTTTGAGACACAGCAAAAGCAGTGGTCAGAGGCCAATTTATAGCAATAAATGCACACATCAAAAAAAAAAAAAAAACCAAAAATCAACACTTTAAACAAACATCTCCAACAATTAGAAAAAGAACAGCAAGGAAAGCCTACAGTCACCAGAAGAAAGGAAATAATCAAGATTCAAGCAGAAATCAATGAAACTGAAAATAGAAGGGCAATAGAAAAAATCAACAAGACCAGAAGTTGGTTTTTTGAAATATAATGAAGAAAATCTTATATTCCAATGGGATTATATACACAGGTATCAGGGTCAGGACTTCAACACATGTTTTAGTTGTTGTCATTAGGCCATACAGTCAGTTCCAACTCGTAGTGACCCTATATACAACAGAACTCCTGGTCCTGAGTCATCCTTACAGTCCTTGCTGTGCTTGAGCCCATCGTAGCAGCCACTGTTGTCAATCCATCTCACCAAGGGTCTTCCCCTTTCTTGCTGACCCACTACTTTACCAAACATGATATCCTTCTCCAGGGACTGGTCCCTTCTGACAACATGACCAAACTAGGTGAGACAAAGTCTGGCAATTTTTGTTTCTAAGGGGCATTCCAGGTGTACTTCTTTCAAGACAGATTTGTTCATTCTTTTGGCAGTCCATGATATTTTCAGTATTCTTTGCCAACACCACAATTCAAATGCATCAATTCTTCTTCGGTCTTCCTTATTCATTGTCCAGCTTTGACTTGTATATGAGGCAATTGAAAGTACCATGGTTTGGGTTAGGCACACCTTAGTCTTCAAAGTGACATCGTTGCTCTTTAACACTTTAAAGAGGTCTTTTGCAGCAGATTTACAGTAGGGAGTCCAGTGGGTGAAGTCTCAGGAGGCACAGGGCAGGCTTCCTGCTGGGAGATAAAATGGTCTGACTGCACACGATGTGCCACCAGATGCCTTAAACCAAACGCACTGCCGTCAAGTCAGATCTGACTCATAGTGACCCCTTCTTGAGTTTCCGAGGTGGTATCTCTATGGAAGTAGATTGCCCAACCTTCCTTCCTAGGGGTGGCTGGTGGGTTTAAACTGCCAGCCTTCTGCTTAGCAGTCAAGTGCCTTAGGCACTATGCTACCAGAGCTCTTACCAGATGCCTTAGGATCAGGAAATGGGTACCCGACACATCACCCCCGGCAGCACTAGAAGGACAAATGGGTGCTGCCTGAAATTTTATTCAAGAAATAGTAATAATAATAAAGTAGAAGGAACTCCTCTCAACTGGCTGCCATTACCTACTCCAAAGTATCAGCAATATCAAAAAATAACAAAAAAAAACCTGATTGTTCTTTATGAGTGATGACCATTATAATGCATGTTATTTGTGTGGGAAAATTCCTTATTTGCTTGAATATCTTATTAAAAACTCAGAAAGGCATAAATATTGTATTTTCTTCAACTGAGCTCTCAGAATCTTAACTATGCAAGGTACCTAAAAAAAATTATTGTGATTTGGGTGAAAATGTACAGAGAAAACTCATTTTCCATATAGCAGTTCATACACATTTTGTTTCATGACATTGACTGCAATTCCCTACAATGTAACAGCTCTCTTCCCACTTCCTGCCTGTAGTGACCTCCTCCCTGTGTCCTTTGCTATCCACTCCTACCCCCAGCTATCTCCCTGTGCAAACACTGCCCTTCTGTTCTCCCTTGATTGATTGTTCTAAGGAGTGTATCTACCTGATGTAAATGTCCCTCACTTTTGAAGAAAGGAAGCATTCTCTCCCTGCCCTGTTGCTCTACTGTTAACACTTTTAACACCAGTGGCATCTCCACCAAGGAAACTGAAGCACTTCTATCCCTACTAACTTTCTCCTCTTTCCCTTGCAGTATGTGTCCAACCGACGAGCCATCGCTCAGAGCACGCCCGAGCAAGCCAACTTCCATCCTCATCACCTCACCCACCATCACCGCCACCACTGCCACCACCACCACCTGCGCCACCACGCCCACCCCCACCACCACCACCAGGAGGTAGGCCTGCACAATGCCCAGGTGACACCTTGCATGTGCCCCTTGTTCTCCTGCCAGTGGGAAGGCCACCTGGAGGTGGTGGTGCCCCACCTGAGGCAGACCCACAGGGTTGACATCCTACAGGGAGCAGAGATTGTCTTCCTGGCCACAGACATGCACCTGCCAGCTCCGGCTGACTGGATCATCATGCATTCCTGCCTTGGCCACCACTTTCTGCTGGTGCTTCGGAAACAGGAGAAGCATGAAGGGCACCCGCAGTTCTTTGCCACCATGATGCTGATCGGGACCCCCACACAGGCCGACTGCTTCACCTATCGCCTGGAGCTCAACAGAAACCATCGGCGGCTCAAGTGGGAAGCCACCCCCCGCTCTGTCTTGGAGTGCGTGGACTCTGTGATCACTGATGGGGACTGTCTCGTCCTGAATACCTCGCTGGCCCAGCTCTTCTCTGATAATGGCAGCCTGGCGATTGGGATTGCGGTCACTGCAGTCAACGTCCACCACACAGAAATTGAGATATGAAGCACACAGCCACCTTAATTCCAAGACACTGGGCTGGTGCTCCTCAGAGCTCTTAAGCCAGGACTCCAGACTCCTTTTTATTGTATCTTTTCCTTCCTCTTGCTTCCATTCTTCCTCTATTTCTTTTTTGTCTCAGGTATTTTGTGGTATTTAGTATTTGTCTGCCTTGAGCAGTATGTTATGTAAACGTCTTGTGACTCAAGATCTTGGTGTGATGTTTGTCCTGTTCTGTTGATAGAGTTTCATGGAACTTTTTAAGAATTTGATTGGAATAGTTCTTTCCTGCCACTGCCAATTCCCTTCTCCAAAAAACAAACCAGTTGTCACTGAGTCAATTCTGACTTATGGCGACACCATATGTGTCCAAGTAGAACTGAGCTCCATAGAGTTTCCAAAGCTGTGACCTTTCGGAAGCAGATCACCAGACCTTTCTCCCAAGGCCCTCTAGGTAAATTTGAACCACCAACCTTTTGGTTAGTAGTCATGCACTTAACCATTTGCACCACACAAGGATTCTTTTCCTTTCTCCACTGCTCCCCAAATGTGGAAACATCACTAAGACCACAAGGCATTGTTAGGGTCCAAAGGAGACATGGTGAGCAGATCAGTGCTTCTGCCTCTCTCCAGTTGAGTTCTAAACTCACTGCCGTCGAGTCAATCCCGACTCATAGCGACCCCTCTTTGGGTTTCCGAGGCGGTATCTCTATGGAAGTAGAATGCCCAGTCTTCCTTCTGAGAAGTAGCTGGTGGGTTTGAATCACCAGCCTTCTGGTTAGCAGTCAAATGCCTTAGGCACTACACCACCAGAGTTCGGAGTGAGCTAAATCTGAAATGTGTAATGATGATGTTTCAGAAGGGGGACTGGCCAGCTCAAAGAGATACCAGATTTCAGACCAAGCTGACAAGTTCCCGGGAACTTCAGGGTCAAAGCTGAGCTGCATGGAAATGAGGGCAGGGGCCGGACTGGAGGAGCCCTCAGACAACCAGCCCTCAGTGTGGATTCTAGGGCCTGGAGAGTGGGAGATGTTGACACTTGTCCCGGCAGGCTCCCGTGGGTTGTTCCAGCCAGTGCCATCTTTGCCTGCTCTGGGATCAAAGTCCTCCATTTGTGGTGCTTTCCTGAGAACCCCTTTGCCTTCTGTTAAGCAAGTAGCAGAAAAGGATAGGCAAGATGTGAGGGGAAAGAAGCAGCAGAAAAATGAAAGCAGAAAATTAATCTACCTCTGGGAGTGCATTCTCTCCTCAGAGAGTTTTATGATCAAGTTATTAAAATCCGTCAGTCTTTTAACTAAGGTGGAGCACTCTTATATCATAAGCAAAACTCAGTTTGTTCCTAATCCTCCATAAACCAGAACCACAACTCAGCAGGAAACACAATGAACTCAGAGGCCCCAGAAGGCTGTGCCCCGCACCTCTGAAGTGGAAGTCACTCATACCCCTGGGAGGTTCTCCTTTTCCTTACTCTCTAGAATGCCCTCAGGGCCCCATTCAGCACATAGCACTATCATTGGTTCAGTATGTATTCAGCACCCTGTTGCAGCTTGAATGAAAAGGCAACAAAATTCTTACTGCTTCTACTGGGGCTGATTTCTCTTGTTTGGTTGTCAAAACAATTGTCAGCACCTTCTTTGTAAAAATCTCTCATGTATTTAAGGAAAGCAAGCATGTTTCACCAACTCTGTCTTATCTCAGTTGAGTAAGTTCAGGCCTTCCTAGGAGGACTCTCTTGGCCCTCCTCTTTGTCATTTTTGTTCCTCCTTTCTGGCCGTTCTCCAGACACTGTGGAAGCATGGCATCCAAACCATTAGAGCCTAATGGGCCTGTCGCCAGTTACACACTGCTTGCTGTGTGCCCCACTCACTCCCCTCAGCCCTTGCATCTGGGTCCTGGCAGGCTGCCAAGAGAGTACTTAATTTCAGGCAGACTGCCCTAGCTGGTCATCAGCAATCATTTGTTCACCAAAAAGAATTGATCCTGAAACAGCCTTCCCCCAACAATCAGATAATTCTCCATCCACCTTTACTGCCAACCCACACCCCAGCACCAGAAGGGCTGTGACAGTCAATTAAAAAAAAAAAAAAAAAAACATTGAGTCAACTCTAATTCATGGATATGTATCAGAGTAGAACTGTGCTCCACAGGGTTTTCAGAAATAGATCACAAGGCCTTTCTTCCCACGTGCTTCTGGGTGGACTAGAACCTCCAACCTCTTGAGTAGCCGAGCACATTAACTATTTTCACCACCCAGAAACCCTGTGCCAGTTGATAGATTTAATCACGTAGCCCCTTTTAGTCACACAGTAAACTCTGGGACCCTAGGACCGAAGCCTTGTTCTGCTGAAGTCCTGAGGGTCACAATAAACATTGCATCACAGATTGAGGCCAAGGTCACACTCAAAAGTCCTGAAAAAAAGGGTTGTAACCTGCTTGCTCTTAGAGCTGTCCGAATATCCTACCAGGGCACCAACTGTGTCCCTCAAATCATACAGATGGCTCAGGAACAGCTTGAGGCTGGTGAGTTAGCTCTGGCAAAGACTGGCTTACTTGACTTCTGACTTTATCCCCAGGCCTTTTTCTGGAGTCTGACACCTCCTGGACTCTAATACCTCTGAAAGCTTCACTTCCTTTCATAGTTTCTGATGCTCAGCCACCACCTTGCTAACATTTGTGTAACATCATGGGTGCTCTAGATAAACAAATAAAACCTCAATAAAATATAATTAACTAATTCTCACAGGTCGTAGGGATACTACAAATCACCTTTGTCTTCTTATCTTACCAGGTTACCTGAACCTAGCTGGGAATAACTTCAGGTTATTACTATTGTACACAGGACTGTATTATGAATAAGTGATTCCAAATAGGAACTTGCAATTTTGGTTCCTTGAAGCAAATGAGGTTGGAAATGGGTTATTTTCTTCTACCTATGGTGCTTCCCAAAAGGCCTTTCACTCCATATGCACATGTGAGGATTTGAAGAGAAAGAAGTGAACCAGAAACAATGAATAACCTTTAAAAAAAAAAAAAGCCAACCCTACAGTTATCCAGTTGATTCCGGTTCATAGCAGCCATATATGGCAGACTAGAACTGTATCACAGGGTTTCCAAGGCTGTAAATCTTTATGGAAGCAGGCAGCCTTACCTTTCTCCCACTAAGAGACTGGTGGGCTTGAATTGCCATACCTTTTGGTTAGCAACTAAATGTGTTAACCACTATGCCACCAAGGCTACTGAAACAATAAATAGGGAATAGAAAATGCTAACAACAATGTCGTGTTGTGTTGAGCATCACAACTGATATTGGTTGCCATCAAGTCCATTCTAACTGCTGGTGACCTCATGTGTGTCAGAGTAAAACTGTGCTCCATAGGGATTTAAATGTCTGATGGTTTGGGAAGCAGATAGCCAGGACTTTCTTCCAAGGTGCCTCTGGGTAGACTCAAACCACCAATCTCTCAGTTAGCAGCCAAGTGTGTTAACCATTTACACCACCCAGGGACTCCACAGTTCAGAAAGGGCTCTCCTATTTAAGTCTCAGGTAAATCCTCATCATTCTTCTCAACATACTAAAAAATAAAGGTTCAGAGACATCAAATGGCTTTTCCAAGTTCACATACATCAGCTGGTTGGAACTAGTCCCAGAACCTAGGTCTACTGGCTGCAAACTTGGTATTCTTGAAGTGGAAGATTTTGTTGTTGTGTGCTGTTGGGTCAATTCCAACCCGTTGGGACCCTAAAGGACAGTGTAGAACTTCTCAATAGGGTTTCCTAGACCTGAATCTTTACAGGAGCAAATTGCCAGATCTTTTCTCCTATGTAGCCACTGAATGGGTTTGAACCACCAAACTTTTGGTTAGCAACTAACGATTGTGCCCCCAGGGCTCCTTGATAAGAAGAAAAAGGATTTAAATATTCAGCAAAGTTCTCATCTCACCAGTGGACTGTGGGCCTCAGAAACCCACATGGGTTTCTGGCCCTGAAATAGCTGGGAGAGCAGAGACGCTGAAACAGATTTGGTTTTGGAGGCATCCCTGCTTGAAGAATTGGTTGACCTGGAAGCAGGCTGGGCCCCAGGAGGAGTAGCAGTAGGCACCTGGAGTCTTCAGAGCCCCGAGCCCCCTCTTGGTATCCTCTCACCCATTCCCAGGCTTCTTCAGAGTCCTGAGACCTAGTTGCTTTATTCACGCCAAGGTGCTAGATTTAATGATTCACCTTCTAAGGAACATTGACATTTTAAATGCAGGCCTAGACAGACAGCAGTGCTTAACAGCAAGCAATGAGTTGCCAATATTTGAATGTCAGGCCTCCATGAGAAAGATTTTCTTTCAACTCCCTTGAAGCTGAGCCTATGGGAGTGGTTGGTGCTGAAATGGAAGTGAGGTCAGCAAAGAAGTTTGTCTTTAACGTTCAGTCTCTGTGTGAACTTGTACCTGATTGTGCCTGTGGTAGACCCCATCACTGTCTGCAGCTGATGTGGAAATTTTTCAAATGGATCAGGATATTAATAATAATAGTACTGATAGCTACCACTTTATGAAGGGTTTACTATGTGACCCAGTGGGCTAAATTGTTTGAATGTGTTCTCTCATCTAATTCCCCTAATAACCTAATGAAGAAGGTGCTATTATTGTACCCTTGTTCTGGTGGCATAGCACCTAAGATATTTGACTGCTAACCAGAGACTGGCGGTTCAAACCCACCAGCCACTCCTCAGAAGGAAGATTGGGCAATCTACTTCCATAGAGATACTGCCTCAGAAATCCAAGGAGGGGTCGCTATTAGTCAAATTGACTCAATGGCAGTGAGTTTGGTTTTTTGGTTTTGTTACAAATGTTATTAGATGACCCTCTTAAAGTCACAGAGCTAGTCAATGGCAGAGCTGGCCTTGGGACCCAGCTTGCCTCGCTACCTGCTGTGTCATATCTATGAATTCATAGACCCAAGGCTCGAAAGGACCAGGTCATAGAGTCTCATGGCATAATGGCCTCTTAGTACCAATT